GTTACTCAAACGAAAAACGGAAAAAAACACGGAATTTGGATAGTTTGTCCTCAATCTTGGAAACACACCCGCTATTGTTCTCAGTAGTGGTTGTGTATCCAATGTATGTGCTATTTAAATGGTTATTATTAGAGAGAACGTATTCATATATAAGATTGGTTTATTGAAATTAGCATTAGTTGAAGGTTTTTAGATTTTGTTGCATGTATTTGCTGAATAATCATATGGTTGAGCGCGCTGTTGGAAAAAAACTAATGGCGTAATGTTTTCTCGTTCGTATTGTTTTTAGATGTTTTAGGAGTCCGAACCTCGGTACGAGAAATCGGTGAACTATTCTCACATTCACTCGTGCAGAAATACCCATGGGAAGAGTATGAATTTCTTCTCCCACCGCTATGGGTTAAATATTCCGAGAGACTGGATGCTCTCGTTGTGCTTGGCAAACATGATAGAAGACGAGCAACTCTAAATTGAAAAACAATATTTAGTCTCAATGGGGTACCATTTTGTACTGCGTCCTGTGTAAGACGATAAGCTACATCCGCATCCTGGATTAGTCGATAAACTACATCCGACAACAAGGGCTTGGTTTTGAGGAACATGGAACCACCTCTTAATTGCTGGCATTCCCAGGTCCATCCTGATCCGGAGAGGTTGCACCTGTTAGGGTCCCAGCTATGGGCAAATAGTTAATCCCAACAAAGTGGTCAAAGCACTATGAAAAAAATTTTTAATACCAGCAATACTTTTTTGGGAAAAATTATTACCAGCAATATATTTTTGAAAAAAAAAAAATTACCAGCATTACATTTTTGAAAAAAAAAAAAAGATATTACCAGCAGTACATTAAAAAAAAAGATTACCAACAATACGTTTTGAAGAAAAATATTACCAGCAATAAAAATCTTTTCGGCATTAAATAACCCATTAAGGTTTATATGCCGTAAACCAAACAAAACCAAACCAAACCAAACCAAACCAAAAATATTACCAGCAATAAAAATCTTGTCAGCATTAAATAACACATTGAGGCTGATATGCCGTAAAACAAACCAAACCAGACTAAACCAAACCAAAAATATTACCAGCAATAAAAATCTTGTTAGCATTAAATAACACATCGAGGTTGATATGCCGTAAAACAAACCAAACCAAAAATATTACCAGCAATAAAAAAATCTTTTCGATATTAAATAACCCATTAAAGTTGATATGCCATAAACCAAACCAAACCAAACCAAACCAAACCAAAAATATTACCAGCAATAAAAATCTTGTCAGCATTAAATAACACATCGAGGTTGATATGCCGTAAAACAAACCAAACCAAAAATATTACCAGCAATAAAAAAATCTTTTCGATATTAAATAACCCATTAAAGTTGATATGCCATAAACCAAACCAAACCAAACCAAAAAATATTACCAGCAATAAAAATCTTGTCAGCATTAAATAACACATCGAGGTTGATATGCCGTAAAACTAACCAAACCAAAAATATTACCAGCAATAAAAAATCTTTTCGGCATTAAATAATCCATTAAGGTTGATATGCCATAAAACAAACCAAACCAAACCAAACCAAACAAAACCAAAAATATTACCAGCAATAAAAATCTTGTCAGCATTAAATAATCCTTTGAGGTTGATATGCTGTAAAACAAACCAAACCAAACCAAACCAAACCAAACCAGAGTTGAACTGCAGTATAGTTGCAGTATAAAACTGAAATTGTTTCTGTGGGTGCTGAAGAAATACAAACACGTTGAGCTAATAGGCATACTCGGGAACTAACAGCCATTTTGAAGATTGAAGATGAGATAATATGTATTTCCAGTGTTCCTTCAAGTTGAAACAGCTTTGATAATAACTGTTAATCGTATGATTCATCCTTTAGTTTTAATAATGTTATCCAGATTAAGAAATGACATTATGCTATCGGTGAGCATAATACACGTATGATGATAAATGGGTGTTCTTGGGCAATTCTTTTTTGAGTTGTATGCATTATAACCTTTTATAATTTTGTATATGGCTCAATGTTGTCTGTGTGTTTCCATCTCGCAACACTACAACAACATACTACTAATACGTAATGTATATACCTACGTATAACACCACCTACAAAAAAGCCCTAGTCTCAAACCCTGCCCTAGACGAAAGGGTAGGTAAAACATATTGCGAATATATAAGCAGCATTTAGGGTACTACGGTGTAAGCGTGTCTAGCTAGAACAATTACGACTTACGAGTAGTGAGTTCGATCCTCACCGGGTGTTTCATTCTTTTGGTTTTGCATCAAAACTATTTTATACTACCAAATAGTGTTCACTAATATAAAATTTGCATTATAATTTCTAAAATCATATTTAAATAAATATGTCTTTCCTGTTATTCATATTTAAATTTTGGAAATTGGCATTTATAAGCAGCGTTTTTGTTGGTAAAGTTCTATTCTTAAATTTATCGTGTTTGTATATAAATAATTTATAAGCGTCTCGTTAAAATTCAGTCTAAGTTAAAAATCCAACAACGTTCATAATATGCATTGTTGTCGTGGTATATTACATGTTATTAATCGAATGGAGCCGAAATAAATGTATAGAATTATTTAAAAATATCAAAATTATCTGTTTCATTAAATTTTCTTATTACAATTTAACCAAGAGAAAAATACTAATTTTCTGAAGTATTTTTTGTTATGATTATAATTACTAGTAACTTATTCAGATGTTTAAGTCCAGAGTAGGAAATTCAACTGGACTTAGTAGAATGACAAAAAGACATTGAGAAAATAGATATTTTGTTGATAATGCTGTTTATATTGAAATTGACTCGATGGAAAAAATACTGTCTAGTAATATTAAATACCTCTATTAAATACCGCCATTAAATATCTCCATTATATGACCCCATTAAATTGCCCCATTAAATTCCCCCATGACCAAACTGCTAACGTTCTACCATCAGCGTTGCCGAACGTAAACTAATACATATCATAATAGATGGATGTTATCTCAATGTGACTCCTTGACAACTGGGACTCAATCCCAGATTTCGCGGAACATATATATATATAAACGCTGGAAAAAGGGTCCGTTCCCCTGTACCGTTCCAGAAAGTATTTGACTCTTTCTGCTATGCTTTATCTTTATAAGAGCCAGATGAGTCCAATGGCGTATCGCTGCCTTGAGGTGGGCCGGGACTGCCCACGTCTCCCTTATCTGTCTGGGTAGAGATCAAAAGCGTGTACGTGGCCTTGTGGGCGAATAAGGATTTTCCAAACTACAACCGCTTTCGCTTAGACGCTCGCCTTTCATTAGGCCATCGCTATTTCCCTTGAAAATGTTCTGACCAGCTGTTTTCGAAGCAAGGTAGGAATGCCACTTTACGCAGGCGGGGGGGGCTACGGAGAGTGACAATGAGAGAAAATAGTGGGAGTAGGGAGAATTGAGCAAAGGAAAAAAGAAAAAGGATCAAGGCAAACAAAAGATGGCGATTGACGTTGCATTTAAATTTTTGAAGGTTGAAGTTATCAGGGAAGCAACTAAGAGGAAGGAAGTTCCAATGTCGGGAAGCGCGAGGAAATAACTTGTCGGAGTAGAAGTGGCAGTTACATTTAACTAATTCAACAGTTAATGGATGGGACCTAGACACTCGTAGAAATTAATTAAAACAAAACGAATAATTCCGGTTTTTTTTTTCGTATTTTCCAAATGAAACATGACCCAGTGCACATGTAAATACTTCATATGCCCATTCAATGAAGTTGTTCTTTGCAGATTAACCACTGATTCTCGATTAGATTTAAATCAGAAGATTACCGGGGCAGTCTATCGTAGTTTGGGATTTGCTCACTGATAAGGCTTGTCAGTTTGTTCGGGCAGCGCTACAATTTTCGTACACTTCTTTGGAGTAACGTCCATCGCATACTGTTGTGGTACGATCCACCTAATTTACATAGTGGAGTACCGACCATATAAATATGGGTTGGTGCCGGAAAGACGGGGGAGGAAGAAGAGATCCAATCCAGAGACTCTGCCCGACTGCGACAACCCATTCTACAGGAACGGTCTTCCCAAGAATATACCAAACTATCTGTAAATATTGTGTACCCTTTCTTGTTTCAATACATTTTGTTTAAATACATTTTGTGTTGTATTATTATTATTCCATGCTTTATTCAAGTTTCAACACATACAATGGCCGTAGGAAAACTAATCGACAGTTGAGACAGTAATGTCTGGGTGTGATAAAAATCTGATGCAATCACGGTTGACGCAATACTTTTTAAGGCCAAACAAATTTCATCATACACCCCCGAAATAGATTCATATTATTGCACACCACTGCAAATGACCTAATCGGAGGAAAAAATAGAAATCGATTACACCCTGTCACTACAGTGGAAGAAGAGTTCGGCCAGCAATGTCGATTTTACTGCTTTTAAACACAATTCTCCATGATTTTCTCTCATGCATTCATATCTACTCTGTGGCCCAATTGAGTAAGGCACGTCAGGCTATATAATGGTTCCGGATAGGATACAGGTTCAATTCCTGTCAGAAGACACATATTTTCTATGAAATTTCTCGGACATTCAGGCCGTTAAATATTGTTTAATACTGTTTATTATAAACAGAGCATTTACTTAATTATTTGTATCTATAAAAAGAACGTATAAACATTAAAAAAATGTCTTAAAAAATAATTGTCAGACTTTGTCCATTTCATAATGTGTGAAGTCATATATATATATATATATAGTTATTGCTTCAAGGATAAATAATGATACATAATCAATAGTAATGAAATAATCATAATCATAATGTTAGAACTTATAGTGAGAATAAGCAATATAAAATAAATTTTATGACTCACAAAACCTTTCCAACGAATTCGAAATACATCTACTTTCCTGAAAAAAGATCTTACATTACAACAAATAATTTTTTCATGCCATGTGTAAATCAGTTAGCAGAGATGTATGTATGCTTACAGACAAATCACGTTGAAGACACCAGTTCCTATTCGATCACCGAGGTCAAGCAACGTTGAGCCTGGTTAGTTCTTGGATGGTGGACCGCATGGAACAGGAAACACTGACAGAGGCAATTTCGTTGTAATATGATCCAGGCTTTAAATACCGTACCTGTACCATCGGTCAGTCAGTTATGTGCCGGGCGTAATACACGATTAGGCGATTATGTATCTTTCGAGGGAGATTTTTTTTCCCGTAGTTGCCGCGGTTGCCATCACAAGCTATAGAACCCGGTCTGTCCTGCGATTTAACGAAGAAGATTCACACCTTTCCCAAGGATATTAGCACATAAGTGAATGTAATCGATTCGACTGGAATTCGAAGTCGGCTCTCCGATTCCTCAATCCGAGCCTTTATCCATTACCTCACCATAACGAATCTTATATCCGCCACATGTTTCTTACACTAGACTGTTATAATTGTTTTTTTTTTGTTGTTTTTTTTTATTATTAGTTATTGTTAATCTGTACAGTCAGTCAGTTATGTGCCATGCGTGATACATGCTTTGGCGATCATGTATCTTTCAATACATGACTGACGAGGCAGATTTTTTTTCTGCCGTAAGTTGCCATTTCTTTCTACGGTAGAAACAGGTCTATCCTGCTATTTACACATAGCTGAGGGTGGGAAAGAAGAGGATTCATACATTTCCTAAGTGAATGTAATGGATTCGAGTGGAATTCGAACTCGGCTCTCCGATTCCTCAACACGAACCGATATCCATTACTCCACCGTTCCTCTTCAGACCATAAGAGTTGGATTCATCCCTTTTCCCAAGTGTATTATCACGTAAGTGAAAGTAATGGATTTGACTGAATTCGAACTCGGCTCTCCGATTCCTCAATCCGAGCCGCTATCCATTACTCCACCGTTCCTCTTCAGACCATAAGAGTTGGATTCATCCCTTTTCCCAAGTGTATTATCACGTAAGTGAAAGTAATGGATTTGACTGGAATTCGAACTCGGCTCTCCGATTCCTCAATCCGAGCCGCTATCCATTACTCCACCGTTCCTCTTCAGACCATAAGAGTTGGATTCATCCCTTTTCCCAAGTGTATTATCACGTAAGTGAAAGTAATGGATTTGACTGGAATTCGAACTCGGCTCTCCGATTCCTCAATCCGAGCCGCTATCCATTACTCCACCGTTCCTCTTCAGACCATAAGAGTTGGATTCATCCCTTTTCCCAAGTGTATTATCACGTAAGTGAAAGTAATGGATTTGACTGGAATTCGAACTCGGCTCTTCCGATTCCTCAATCCGAGCCGCTATCCATTACTCCACCGTTCCTCTTCAGACCATAAGAGTTGGATTCATCCCTTTTCCCAAGTGTATTATCACGTAAGTGAAAGTAATGGAATTGACTGACTGAATTCGAACTCCATTCTCCACCGTTCCTCTTCAACTCTCCGATTCCTCAATCGAGCCGCTATCCATTACTCCATCGTTCCTCTTCAGACCTGAAGAGGTGGATTCATCCTTTTCCCAAGTGTATTATCACGTAAGTGAAAGTAATGGATTTGACTGGAATTCGAACTCGGCTCTCCGATTCCTCAATCCGAGCCGCTATCCATTACTCCACCGTTCCTCTTCAGACCATAAGAGTTGGATTCATCCCTTTTCCCAAGTGTATTATCACGTAAGTGAAAGTAATGGATTTGACTGGAATTCGAACTCGGCTCTCCGATTCCTCAATCCGAGCCGCTATCCATTACTCCATCGTTCCTCTTCAGACCTGAAGAGGTGGATTCATCCTTTTCCCAAGTGTATTATCACGTAAGTGAAAGTAATGGATTTGACTGGAATTCGAACTCGGCTCTCCGATTCCTCAATCCGAGCCGCTATCCATTACTCCACCGTTCCTCTTCAGACCATAAGAGTTGGATTCATCCCTTTTCCCAAGTGTATTATCACGTAAGTGAAAGTAATGGATTTGACTGAATTCGAACTCGGCTCTCCGATTCCTCAATCCGAGCCGCTATCCATTACTCCATCGTTCCTCTTCAGACCTGAAGAGGTGGATTCATCCCTTTTCCCAAGTGTATTATCACGTAAGTGAAAGTAATGGATTTGACTGGAATTCGAACTCGGCTCTCCGATTCCTCAATCCGAGCCGCTATCCATTACTCCACCGTTCCTCTTCAGACCATAAGAGTTGGATTCATCCCTTTTCCCCAAGTGTATTATCACGTAAGTGAAAGTAATGGATTTGACTGAATTCGAACTCGGCTCTCCGATTCCTCAATCCGAGCCGCTATCCATTACTCCACCGTTCCTCTTCAGACCATAAGAGTTGGATTCATCCCTTTTCCCAAGTGTATTATCCGTAAGTGAAAGTAATGGATTTGATTGAATTCGAACTCGGCCTCAATCCGATTCAATCATCGTAATCCATTACTCCATCGTTCCTCTTCAGACCTGAAGAGGTGGATTCATCCCTTTCCCAAGTGTATTATCACGTAAGTGAATGTAATGGATTTGACTGGAATTCGAACTCGGCTCTCCGATTCCTCAATCCGAGCCGCTATCCATTACTCCACCGTTCCTCTTCAGACCATAAGAGTTGGATTCATCCCTTTTCCCAAGTGTATTATCACGTAAGTGAAAGTAATGGATTTGACTGGAATTCGAACTCGGCTCTCCGATTCCTCAATCCGAGCCGCTATCCATTACTCCACCGTTCCTCTTCAGACCATAAGAGTTGGATTCATCCCTTTTCCCAAGTGTATTATCACGTAAGTGAAAGTAATGGATTTGACTGGAATTCGAACTCGGCTCTCCGATTCCTCAATCCGAGCCGCTATCCATTACTCCATCGTTCCTCTTCAGACCTGAAGAGGTGGATTCATCCCTTTTCCCAAGTGTATTATCACGTAAGTGAAAGTAATGGATTTGACTGAATTCGAACTCGGCTCTCCGATTCCTCAATCCGAGCCGCTATCCATTACTCCACCGTTCCTCTTCAGACCATAAGAGTTGGATTCATCCCTTTTCCCAAGTGTATTATCACGTAAGTGAAAGTAATGGATTTGACTGGAATTCGAACTCGGCTCTCCGATTCCTCAATCCGAGCCGCTATCCATTACTCCACCGTTCCTCTTCAGACCATAAGAGTTGGATTCATCCCTTTTCCCAAGTGTATTATCACGTAAGTGAAAGTAATGGATTTGACTGAATTCGAACTCGGCTCTCCGATTCCTCAATCCGAGCCGCTATCCATTACTCCACCGTTCCTCTTCAGACCTGAAGAGGTGGATTCATCCCTTTTCCCAAGTGTATTATCACGTAAGTGAAAGTAATGGATTTGACTGAATTCGAACTCGGCTCTCCGATTCCTCAATCCGAGCCGCTATCCATTACTCCACCGTTCCTCTTCAGACCATAAGAGTTGGATTCATCCCTTTTCCCCAAGTGTATTATCACGTAAGTGAAAGTAATGGATTTGACTGGAATTCGAACTCGGCTCTCCGATTCCTCAATCCGAGCCGCTATCCATTACTCCACCGTTCCTCTTCAGACCATAAGAGTTGGATTCATCCCTTTTCCCAAGTGTATTATCACGTAAGTGAAAGTAATGGATTTGACTGAATTCGAACTCGGCTCTCCGATTCCTCAATCCGAGCCGCTATCCATTACTCCAGCGTTCCTCTTCAGACCTGAAGAGGTGGATTCATCCCTTTTCCCAAGTGTATTATCACGTAAGTGAAAGTAATGGATTTGACTGGAATTCGAACTCGGCTCTCCGATTCCTCAATCCGAGCCGCTATCCATTACTCCACCGTTCCTCTTCAGACCATAAGAGTTGGATTCATCCCTTTTCCCAAGTGTATTATCACGTAAGTGAAAGCAATGGATTTGACTGGAATTCGAACTCGGCTCTCCGATTCCTCAATCCGAGCCGCTATCCATTACTCCACCGTTCCTCTTCAGACCATAAGAGTTGGATTCATCCCTTTTCCCAAGTGTATTATCACGTAAAGTGAAAGTAATGGATTTGACTGAATTCGAACTCGGCTCTCCGATTCCTCAATCCGAGCCGCTATCCATTACTCCACCGTTCCTCTTCAGACCATAAGAGTTGGATTCATCCCTTTTCCCAAGTGTATTATCACGTAAGTGAAAGTAATGGATTTGACTGGAATTCGAACTCGGCTCTCCGATTCCTCAATCCGAGCCGCTATCCATTACTCCACCGTTCCTCTTCAGACCATAAGAGTTGGATTCATCCTTTTCCCAAGTGTATTATCACGTAAGTGAAAGTAATGGATTTGACTGGAATTCGAACTCGGCTCTCCGATTCCTCAATCCGAGCCGCTATCCATTACTCCACCGTTCCTCTTCAGACCATAAGAGTTGGATTCATCCTTTTTCCCAAGTGTATTATCACGTAAGTGAAAGTAATGGATTTGACTGGAATTCGAACTCGGCTCTCCGATTCCTCAATCCGAGCCGCTATCCATTACTCCACCGTTCCTCTTCAGACCATAAGAGTTGATTCATCCTTTTCCCAAGTGTATTATCACGTAAGTGAAAGTAATGGATTTGACTGGAATTCGAACTCGGCTCTCCGATTCCTCAATCCGAGCCGCTATCCATTACTCCACCGTTCCTCTTCAGACCTGAAGAGGTGGATTCATCCCTTTTCCCAAGTGTATTATCACGTAAGTGAAAGTAATGGATTTGACTGGAATTCGAACTCGGCTCTCCGATTCCTCAATCCGAGCCGCTATCCATTACTCCACCGTTCCTCTTCAGACCATAAGAGTTGGATTCATCCTTTTCCCAAGTGTATTATCACGTAAGGAAAGTAATGGATTTGACTGGAATTCCGAACTCGGCTCCGATTCCTCAATCCGAGCCGCTATCCATTACTCCACCGTTCCTCTTCAGACCATAAGAGTTGGATTCATCCCTTTTCCCAAGTGTATTATCACGTAAGTGAAAGTAATGGATTTGACTGGAATTCGAACTCGGCTCTCCGATTCCTCAATCCGAGCCGCTATCCATTACTCCACCGTTCCTCTTCAGACCATAAGAGTTGGATTCATCCCT